AATTATTTTTAAAAAGGCGGTGGGGGGGTGAAGAAAAGAAAAAAAATCATGGGTGGTTCCCAGCAACCCTGGGGGTCCTTAGGTTTTCTCCTCTCCCCCTGAGGTAAAAGAACAACTAAGGCTTCCCTTCTGAGCACCCTTGTTAATAAGACCAACCTTATTCTCCTGGGGCCTCAGTGCATCCCTGATAATTGTATTACAACCAATATGGATAATGTAAATCCTCCATTTTAATGTGGTGTTTATTTGCTCAAATCCTCTTCCTTCTCCAGAGCAGCCTCCCTCCTTTTCCCCCATCTTCTCCCATGGTTTGGATGACACAGCTCTTTGCCTACAGCTCTCCCTAGGCACCCCAAAAGGGAACCCAAAGGTCCTGTAATATAAGACCTCTCAGTCTAGGAACCCTACAGTCAAGACCTAGAGCTTTTATCATTCATTCATTCATTCATTCATTTCTTCCCTCCTTTTTTCTTTTCTTTTCTTTTTTTTTTAAAAGATTTTTATTTATTTATTTGACAGACAGAGATCATTTGTAGGCAAAGAGGCAAGCAGAGAGAGAGAGAGGGAAGCAGGCTCCCTGCCAAGCAGAGAGCCCAACGCGGGGCTCGATCCCAGGACCCTGGGATCATGACCCGAACCGAAGGCAGAGGCTTTAACCCACTGAGCCACCCAGGCACCCTTCCCTCCTTTTTTCTTCCTGCGTTCGATGCTTGCTATGGGCTAGGTTCCAGGCTAGGCGCTGAGGACATGGAATTTGTCAACCGGGAGATTGGTCTATGCGGTCAAAGGCACGTACACAGTGACAGTAGAGAAGACCATGGCTTCCTTGGAGCCATGTAAAGCAAGCTTTGGTCATGTGTTTGATGATCCATTTGGAACCTGTCACGTGGGCTCTCTCGCGGCTACTGGAGCCAGACCAGCACCTCCCCTCTCTCCTATACATAGAACTGGTTTGGACACCTCCCTCTTCCCTGCTCCTCAAATCCAGTCAGCACCAGGTTCTGTTAACTCTGTCCCTGAGAGCTTTTTTACCTTCTCCTTCAGAAGAAGGAGACATGGGGGCACCTGGGTGGCTCAGTGGGTTAAGCCTCTGCCTTCGGCTCAGGTCATGATCTCAGGGTCCTGGGATCAAGTCCCGCATAGGGATGTCTGCTCAGCAGGGATCCTGCTTCCCTCTCTCTCTCTGCCTGCCTCTCTGCCTACTTGTGATCTCTCTCTGTGTGTGTCAAATAAATAAATAAAATATTAAAAAAAAAAAAAACAAAAGAAGAAGAAGAAGGATACATGGTCCCTGCCCATGTCTTCGATGCAGCCTAAAGACCAAGGCAGGAGCCTCCTAGCTCTTCCTTCCCCTCTTACAGGGCCATGAAGGCTGGGCCCTGCTCACCTGCTGCTGCCAGGCTCATCGTCTCTAAACAAACTGTACAGAAATTTCTACATGTTGTTTTGTCCACAGTAAACAAAAACAGAGCCTGTTTGGCCTTCAAGGCTCTAGCACCGACTAGCCCCTGTCCTCCTTCCTCACTTTATTTTTCAGTCTTCCCCTTCCCTTGCCAAACCTAGTAAACACTTCTCGCAGTCCCTGTAACCCAGAATATTCTGCTGCCTTCCTCTTCCCAGAAATCCAGTTCTTACCCATTTCTGCCCGACTAGCTCATTTATCTGCACTTTCAGGAAGCCCTTTCTGATTGCTCCACTTGAACATGATCTGTCCCCTTTCCAGGAAAGGTCTTATGATCCATCCTGTCCCACTGCATAATTTCCCTTTGCATGCACACCCTCTCTCCTACAAGATTGTCAGGTCCCCGCTTATTCTTCTATTTGGCATATGGTAACAGACCAGATTCACAAGTGCTTAATAAGTATTTACTGGGTTAATGAGCAAATAGTAAGTAATTATAACACACTGGTTGCTATGTATGTTTCTCTTTCTTGAGCTTTCTTGTTTTTCTCTCCCCTTTATCCCAGCTGGGGCCCCTCCCAGCTTTCAATCTAGTTGCCCCTTCTGGATACATTCCCTGCTCCTCCCTCTCTGTAGTTCTCTCCCAGCCATACTGTCTTGCAGGTGGGACAGGAAAGCAGCTGGCCTGACCCTCAGTGACCTCTTTCCCTCCTCTCTCTAAATGCAGGCTCGGAGGAGGAGACTGAGGAGCTGTGTGAACAGGCTGTGTGAGATGCTCAGACCTAGCTCCAACCAAGAGCGTACTTGGATGACTTGGCCCTACCTGGCACAGAGTGAAGAAAGGACCTCAGAAAACACCCCTCTTTTGGGCCATACTTCCTGGCACCTCCGGAAGAGGAGTGGTGGTGGTGGGTGGCAGGTGCTCCCTGCTCCCAGCGCTGGACATTGAGTGCAGAACGCGTCTGCAGTCAGCAAGCCTGTGTCCAGTGGGGCAGCCAACTACTCCCTATGTGGGCCGGCTCCCAAAGGCTGTCTTTTGAGAACAGGAAGCTGGGTATGGGTGGATAGATGTTATAAAGGTGCTGCTGTTTTCCCCAGGCCCAGCAGGTCTTCCTAGTCCCAAGCCTCATGTGCACACCTGTCAAGGGTCCTTCTTACCTCCTCTCTTGGGTGAGTCCTGCACACCAGCTTTGACGCCTTGGTAAAGCTGCTGCATCAGCAGCAACCTCGGCTTGTGTCATTTTCCTTCTTTGCAAACAGATCAGGAACGTAGATGAGCCCTGAGCCCTATAAAGGGAGACTGTGCAGCTTCTCCAGGCAGTACCTGCCCTGGTGCATAAGGGAGAGTGCTCTTCCCTTCTTGTCTTTAATTGTCATATCCACTCCATTAAGTCAGAGGGGAGGCTCTGGGAAGCCAGGGTGTGGAGATATGTCTTTAAAGCAGTACAGCGCCCTGAAGAACCTGGGATGAAGTCTCCGACTTTCAAACTCCCTCGTCACTCTAGCAGCTCCAGTTCCTCTGGGGCTTGGGAGTGGGGGTAGTGGGGGAGGGAATAATTCTTTCCTGGAAGTTGCCTATCTCAAAGTCCCAAAGTAGGTGGAAAGAAGAGGATTTCTGCTGGACTTCATCTAGAAGAGGGAGGATGGAATGAAGGTAGAAAAGACAGAATTACAGCTGAACAAGGACAATGATGAATTCTTTTCTCGGAGTTTTCTCTCAGAGCAGGGATGAGGAACAGGGGAAAACAAAGGAAAAGCAAAGTGGGACATTTGGGTTTAGATGGCTCCAAGGCCCCACTTCCCATGATAAGCCATACAGACCAGGGACACCCAGGAAGGTGTACATGCAAGAGGTTGTGCATGCAGGACATCTGGCCCGGGTAGCTGGCACCGAGTGGGCAAGGGCTGAGGGGCCCCCTGAGGGTGACATTCACCCCAGGACAGCTGGACTATTGCTGGCTCCTCAGGCATTATCCCATTTGGAATGTGAATGTGGGAGCTACGTGGACACAGGACCCTACCTGGGAAACTTCTTCCCTCAAAGTCAGTGGGGAACTAGCACCTAGGCACCCACATGGGTATTTATATCTGAACCAGACAGAAAGACGCTTGAATCAGGCACTATGTTGAGAAATGTATTTATTTGCTAATATATTTATCCATAAATGCGGTCTTGTCTCATGGTTTTGTTCTGTCATGACGGTCACTCACGGTAACGGTTTCATCTTCTACATTGACAGAAGTAAATTATTTCTGGTATCAGAGGTTAGGCTCTGACTTAGGAAGGGATAGGACAGAGTGGTGGGCTAGGCAACAAGCATTGGTTTGTATGCCCCTAAAAGCATGGTTTAGTGAGATCAGGAAAGGGAGGAAAGCATGACTGGATTCTGTGGTCCAGTTGCTATCTGTATTATTATTGTACCTTTTACTTCACACTCTTGTGATGCTTCAATGACTTTGTAACCTGTAGCAAATACTCTGTGCCTCACTTTTCCACCCATAAAATAGGCCTACTTCACAGAGTAGTGGCAGGGCTCCCCAGGTAAGAGTGAAAGCATGTTTGGAGGAGTTAAGTATCCAACGCTGGAGAACATTCTAACCCCAGTCATAGAGCCCATCTGAACAAAGCATAGCAGGGGCACAAACAGCAGTCCCCCCAGCCCCCCTTGAAGAAGCTCTGTTTCAGTTCGGAGGCCTGGTTGGGAGGACAGAACATCGGGGCCTGAAACTACCTATTTATATTCCAGAGCTCCAATTCTGATAAACACAAATGACTGTGCTCTCCCTACTCCTGCGACTACTGTTGAGGATCCAGAGCTACTGCTAAGTTGTTATGAATTCCACATAGCCTCACAAAGCACATTTCCCCTTCTGCTTCTCCAGGAATGTTTCATAGGGGTCGTCATTATCTGTTGCCCAGTTTTGAAGCACAGAGCACAGAAGCATCTAGCTTTCTAGAAGGTGGGGGCGGGGGGAGACACTCTACTATCCCCTACAGATGTTCTCAAGTAAAGGAACTGTCTAAATGCTAAAAGATGCACAAAGCCTAAATTATCAGCTGGAACGAGTAAAGTACGTAAAGAGTTTTTAAAAAATAAATACGCCATCGGCTCATACGCCACAATCCCGGCGGACGGCAAATGGAAACCCTACACTGCTCTCAGGAAGAAAGGGGCTGTCCCTGATTTCTTTCCCTCTTGGCAGAGATAACCCAGAGGGAGACAGTAGGCTCTCTGGCCCTGCGCTTTTTTAAAACGGCAAGACAAAAAAGGATCTCGGCTGGCATCTGGGATCCTCCTAAGGGGACGAACGGCCGACTGCCAGGGACTGAGATCAAAGGGCCCGCCCCGCCGGGATTCCGGCTCCGGCTGCAGCGCGTTCCCGCGCAGGCGCCAACCGCGCCGCTCCTCCCCCATGGGCCCTGCCCACAGGCCCAACGGCCGCCACGGCCTCGCCCTCGCGCCGGCCCAGGTGACTCCCGGCCGGTCCCGCCTTTCAGGCGGGAGAAACCATCTCCGTAGGACGGGCGGGGGTGGGGGGGCGGTGGCTGGGACCTGCGACTTCCCACACAGGAAGCGGAAGTCCTGGGCACCGGAAGTGGGAGGCATTCTGGGTAATTCGCTGTTTACTTCCTGCGGCTGAGGAATCCGTGGCCCAGTTCTTTGCTGTGCTTTTGTCGGAGGGGATGGCCCTTGAGACGGTGCCGAAGGATCTGCGGCATCTGCGGGCTTGTTTGCTGTGTTCGCTGGTCAAGGTGTCCTTCGGGGAGCTGGTTGTAGGGGTGATGGGGGGAATCAAGGTGGGGGAAAAGTGGAACGGGGCTGGGGGATAGCGAAGAGAAAATTAAGTTCCAGGACCCTGGGTTTGGCGGGGCGCAGGGGGATGTGGGAACCTGCTGGAAGGCCATCGTTTAAGTCTGCAGGAATACAGGCAGTCTTTAGATGCATTTGAATCCTTAGCTAGCACACGTGTGATTCTTAACAGACGTTCAGTGAACTTCTGTTGAAGTCGAAGGCCACTGAGAGTCAGGTGAGGGTGGGGATCTGCAGCTGAGGGAGTAGTCAGAGAGGATGCCTGTCCCTGAGGAGACTAGGGAAAGGAATAGGTAAAACGCAGTTAGGAACAAGAGAGGGAGGACTGTGAGGGTGTGGGCGGAACTTTAGAAATGGAGCTGTAGGAGTGGTGGGTGGAAAGCCTGATGAGGCAGAGCCAGCATAGGGAGCCTTCTACTTGACCAAGTAGAAGTATAGAGAGAGCTACTCATTCTTTTGGCCTTGTTTATGCTCACCCCTACCCCTTTCTTTCCCTCTCCCAGACTATAGACCAGTTTGAATATGATGGTTGTGACAATTGTGATGCATATCTTCAGATGAAGGGTAACCGGGAGATGGTATATGACTGCACCAGCTCTTCCTTTGATGGGTAAGCTCCTCTAGATTCCTTCATTCACTTTTTGGTTACTCCCATCCTACTCCACCCCACCCCATCCAGTAAATGTGAGGCAGACTTTTGAGATCATGATCCTAGTTGTTCTCAAAGTTATGTTCACAAAGTTCTGTGCTATCCAGTACAGTAGCCACTAGCATGTTCGGCATTGAGCACTTGAAATGTGGCTAGTCCAAACTGAGTTATGCTCCAGCTGTAAAATATACACTAGATTGACAAGATTTAGAACAAGGAAAAAGAATTTAAGGTATTTTAACTTTGTTAATATTAATTATATACTCAAATGATAATCCTTTGGGTATACTGGGTTAAATGAATATGTTATTGAAATTAATTTCACCCTTTTGTCTTTACTTATAAACGTGGCTACTAGAAAATTTTAAATGACTTGTTTATGGTTTTGTTTATTTCTGCTGGACAGTTCTTCATTAGACTGTCAGCTCATTGGTGGTAGGGACTGTGTTTATCTTGTACACACTGATTTGGCACAGGGCCCAGAAGGTGGCAAAAGGCTAAGAAATGTTTGTTAAATACATGAAGATCCACGGGGCGCCTGGGTGGCTCAGTGGGTTAAGCCGCTGCCTTTGGCTCAGGTCATGATCTCAGGGTCCTGGGATCGAGTCCCGCATCGGGCTCTCTGCTCATCAGGGAGCCTGCTTCCCTCTCTCTCTCTGCCTGCCTCTCTACTTGTGATCTCTGTCTGTCAAATAAATAAATAAAATCTTTAAAAAAAAAAATACATGAAGATCCTTTCTGAAAATGAAGGTAAGGTAAGGTAAGGTAAGGTGTAAGGTACAGTAGTGGTAAATTATTACCTGAAAGCTGTTGCTGTTAGGTATGTCCCTTGGTGAGATTGTCCAATGGGGAGAAGGGGAAATGAGAGTAACATAAGTGACCAGGTCTCGGGTTTTTTTTTTTCCCCAAGGTAGGAGCCAGAGAATAATATTCTTTGGGGGGATAAGGAGATAACTGTCTTTTGGCTTCTAGGCCAATTAAGGATTTACACACAAGGGTATCTGAGTGGCTTAGCCAGTTAAGTGTCCAATTCTTGATCTCAGGGTAGTGAGATTGAGTCCTTCCCACAGTCCCTGGCAACTATCATTCTACTTTCTTTCTGTATGAATTTCTTGGGTTTTTGTTTTGTTTTAAGGTTTTATTTATTTGAGAGAGGACAAGCAGGGGGAGTGGCAGAGGGAGAGGGAGAAGCTGAGCAGGGAGCCCAACATGGAGCTCAATCCCAGGACCCCCAGGATCATGACCTGAGCCAAAGGCAGATGCTTAACCAACTGAGCCACCCAGGCACCCCTCTTGCTGTATGAATTTGAAGTGTACTATGAGTGCTTCATATAAGTGGAATCATAACAATATTTGTGTTCTTGTGCCTGGCTCATTTCATTTACCACCATGTCTTCAAGGTTTATCCATATTGTCGCATGCGTCTGGATTTTCCTTTTAAGCTGAATACATTTTATCCACTCATCTGTTGGTAGACTCTTGGGTTGCTTCTATCTTTTCTCTGTCATGAACAATGCTGCTGTGAACACAGGTTTACAAATATCTGATCAAATTCCTGCTTTCATTTCTTTAGGGTATATATCCAGAAGCGGAATTGCTGAGTTGCTCTGTTTAATATTTAGGGGAACTGCCATAATACTGGTTTCATAGCGGCAGCACCATTTTCTGTTCCCACCAGCAGTGTGCAGGGGTTCCAGTTTCTTTACACCCTTGCCAACGCTTGTTTTTTTTTGCTTTGTTTTGTTTTTTTGTTTTATGTTTGGTTTTGGTTTTGGTAGTGGCTACCTTCTTGGACGTGAAGTGACATTGTCTTGGTTTTGATTGCTTTTCCCTAATGATTAGTGATGTTAAGCATCTTTTTATGTGCTTACTGGCCTTTTGTAGATCTTAGAAAAAAGTCTGCTCAAATCCTTTGCCCACTTTGCAAGCAGGTTATTTGACTTTTTATTGTTGAGTTGTAAGAGTTATTTTTGTGTATTCTGGTGCGTGTTAGATTTTGGAGAGTGTGTATATCAAAGGCTAAAGGAGCTCAGAGGAGGGCCACATGAACTCAGAAGCCGAGGAGATACTATGTGAATCAGGCTCTGACATAAAGAAGTACAGGATTTTTGAGGACATTGAGGTGAGAGAGCATTTTAGAAAAAGCATTCTAAACAAGGGAATGACTTGAGTAAAATCATGGGGTGGGAAAATTAAGCTATGTTTGGAGAATGGTGGGGATTCTGTTGAAGTTAAATCATAAGGTTGGGTGACAGGCACTGTAAGGCTAGAAAGATTGCTGGTGAAGAATAGAAGAGAACATACTGTTGGTCCAGACAACGGCCTGTGGCTACCTCTGGTCAGTCTGCCAGGCCAGGGCAGGTGTTACTCTACTTAACCACCCCAGAAAGTGGCGTCCGTTCCACTCCCAGCAGGTGGCTGAGAATGTAGGATATGGTTGGGGGGAGGAAGGCTCCCCAAATAAGAATGCAAGATTGGTGCCAAGAAGAAGAGGGAATGGTTATTTTTTTTAAAGATCTTATTTATTTATTTGACACAGAGAGAGAGAAACAGCAAGAGAGGGAACACAAGCAGGGGGAATGGGAGAGGGAGAAGCAGGCTTCCCGGTGAACAGAGAGCCTGATACAGGGCTTGATCCCAGGAGCCTGGGACCATGACCCAAGCCAAAGGCACATGCTTAATGACACCCACCCAGGCGCCCCGAGGGAATGGTTACTGAGAAGGCAGTTGATAAATGTCAGTATCTATAACAGACCTGTCACAATAGGCAGTCCGCAAGCATTTGATTGAATGAATGACAGAAATGACATAAGGTAGCTTCTGAAAGTACCTGGTGTTTACTTGTCAAGCTCAAGTGGCAGCCTACTAGCCCTTATTAAATGGCCTTTCTGTTGCCTGTGGATCAGAGCTATTCTGGGGAGAACGAGTAAGATAAGGAGAGCTAATGCTTATTTAGCACCTACTCTGTGCTAGGTGTTTGTCGTGTATTAACTCAGTATTTGAGTTTCAGTCCACATAATTCTATGAGAGGTCTCCAAATGTGTCTTAGGCTGTACAACTCATCAGAGCAGACCTTGGCCAAGTCTAACTTATTTTTGTAACCCCATAAGCATGTTTGTCCTTCACCCTCCCCCTTTGCACTAGGGCCCAGCCCCCTAGTGGTGGTGTTGCTTGTAATTGTAACTGGCTTCCTACTTTGTTGTTGTTGTTGTTGTTGTTGTTGTTGTTTTAAAGATTCCATTTATTTATTTGACAGAGATCACAAGTAGGCAGAGGGGCAGGCAGAGAGAGGTGGGGAAGCAGGCTCCCTGATGAGCAGAGAGCCTAATACGGGGCTTGATCCCAGGACCCTGGGATCATGACTTGAGCCGAAGGCAGAGGCTTTAACCCACTGAGAAAGCCCCTGGCTTTCTACTTTTAAAGCTGTCCTGTTTCCCAGAGAATCCAGGCTAAGGATGCTTTTGAGCCTGATGAGCTAATCCTTTGGGAATGGCAACTAACCTGTGCTTGGCAGGCCAAGAACCTTTGTCAGTGTCCCCAGCATTAGTAGTCCATTTTCCCTGCTTTCTTTCCCAAGCCAATACTTGGCTTTTTCCTTTGTTTCCTCTCCCAGAATTGTTGCTGGCTGGAAGCAGAGTGAAGTGGACATTTTCCTCCATCTCTCTCTTTTCTAGTAGGAGAGGCTCAGGCTGACTGTTTGTTTTCCTTTCCCAGAATCATTGCAATGATGAGTCCAGAGGACAGTTGGGTCTCGAAGTGGCAGCGAGTCAGTAAGTATCTCCCTTTCTCCTTATCCTGGCCTACTTGTTGTTGCTGCCCGCTGGTCTGGTGGGGGAGCCTTAAATCAGGGGTAAGTAGCCACAGAATGAAACAGTTGGTGTTGTAGGAAACAGGAAGAAAGTGTCCTATCCCCTGTCACTTAACATCAGAGCCAAAAGAAGTGATTGCTCTTCTCTTGGAGTTGCAGCATTCCTTTCATTTTTAGCTTAAACCTCCATTTGGTCTTTAGACTTAACTCACTCTCACTGTCATCTTTCTTCTTCTCTCGTAGGTAACTTTAAGCCAGGTGTGTATGCAGTGTCGGTCACTGGTCGCCTTCCCCAAGGTAATAATAATAGCAGCCAGTGTTCACTTGCTCCGCCACGCTCTGTGGAGGTCCTTTCTGTGACTACACGCTAGTCCTCATGACTCTGGAGGCAACTGAGGCACAGAGAGGTTAAATAACTTGCCCAAGGTCATCCTGCTAGTAGTGAGCTAGAATGTGAACCCAGGCATTTTGACCCCAGAACCCTTGGTTTTAGTGACTACAGTGTGTACCCTTTTCCTTCTCATTCTTACCAAGTCATTGCCAAACACGTGCCTGGATCTTCAGTGGTAACAAGCCAACCAAGCAGGACTGTTGATGAGCTGTGTAGGAAGGAACTCCATTTTGCTTAGGAACACCTTCCTTCCTTTCTCCCTTTCCTGCCCTCCACCAAAGTGGTAGTAGAGAGACTTTTCTTATCCTCTGGAATATTCCTCCCTCACAGAGCTGTTTCTTTTCCTGCTGCAGGAATCGTGCGAGAGCTGAAAAGTCGAGGAGTGGCCTACAAATCCAGAGACACAGCTATAAAGACCTAGCAAGATACGTGGCTGCCAGCATCTTTGCTCCCCGCCTCCTGCATCTGCTTATTTTTTGTTATGGAACTAAATGGACAGAACTTCAGAGACTTTCCCCCTCCAACTCTTGAGACTCAGCAGACCGTTGAGAGAACATGGCGTGTCCCTGAGCCATTTTACCTTTGGACTGCTGGTGGGGGTGGGGTGGTTTGAGCTGGTGGATTAACAGAGGCTGGCTTGAGTGGGGGGTAGGAGACGTGTTTTTTGCCCTTACCCATGAGTAGGACTCTGGGTCAGATGCCAATAAACATGAACCCCTAGGAAAGTTCTTAAACCCATGACAGATGCCTTGCCTCCTCCTTTTTACCTGGGCACAGGAAGAACTCACCTAACTCTGTAAGCACTTTCCTGGAGCAACAGAGGCCCTCCAGCTCCCTGATACCCATCTTTCAGCCTTCCAAAGTTGCAGCCTTTCTAGTGTGCTTCGTCGGGTCTTGTTGGAAGGTCTGCTGTCCTGAGTCTGGGCAGCCCCATCAGGCTGGTAGTCCTGGCATCTGGGGGTTGCAGACTTGCTCTAGACCTGGCACAGCAAGTATCTTGAAAGAAAGTCTGAGGCTTCTCAGTATTCTTTGCCTGTTGACCATATTTATTATTACTCTTCCCTCGCCCTTTTTTTCCTTCTTTTTACTGTTCTTCCTCTACCTTAGGCCATGACCCTCCCTTGCCCACCTACACACATTCCACTGTGTTTCTTCAACTGGAGACCCTCAGGTGGCTGCTGGATCTTGGTCCAGTTAGTTTATGCCTTTGTAGGAGTTGGGCCCCTCCCCTGCCTGTCTGGCCTAATAGGGGGTTTTGATATCAGGTTGTTGGTCAAGGTGAGTTATTTGTTTTAGAATGAAAAATTTACCAGAAATCTTACTTTAATCTCCACAAAGAATCCTATCGCTATCCTATTTATTTCCTAGGTTTCTTGTTCTCCATCTGTAAAACAATGATAACATCCTGTTTTACCTTAGTTTTGTTATTACAAAAACGAAGCAATGTGAAAATTCTGAAACTTAGGTTTTATGAAAAGTAAAATTCATTTACTCTGTTTTTATTAGCTGTTCTTTAATGTATACAGTAAGCGCACAGTTAATCAAATAGTGGGAGAAATGCCGAAAATCACTGCTGCAGAATGAGCTCCTGACTCATTAGCGGAGGTGCCTACACTAGGGCTCTGCCCGTAGCCACCTGGTGTTGCTAGTGAGTCAGTGTCTCTTGTTCCCTGCGGCCTGGAGTGTGTGGGAAGGAGAGAGAGGAGCCGATTGTGGGAATGAGGGAGAGGAGCTGATTCTCCAGTAACCCCCCCCCCCCCCGCCCCACCGCTCCCACCCCTGTCGTCGTCTGCTCAGAGGCCCCTGCGAGGGCAGCTGAAAGTGGCCCAGGATGCTTAGGGCACTCACAGATCCTCCTCAAACCAGAACCATTTTGCTGATGCCCTCAAGCTCTGAAGGAGTGGTCCGTTAACCCCAGTTTCAGCTGTTTTTAAAGGATTTCTCCAGCCCAGCAAACTGAAAGAGCTCAAGGTGTGGTGGTTTCTATTTAATTTCAGTCTGAAAGGATCCTTGGGAAGTAGACCCACCAGGCCAGCCTTAGGATCTGGAGAGAAGTGGGTTTCAGCAAGAGTGCCTAGGCCATGCAGCCAACACCCAACTTTCACTGGCTTTTCTCAAAAAGTCCCTTGGAAATCCCCAGCTGCTGTCCTGCGTGTCTGACCCGGACGTGGCTGCTTGGTGAGAATGGAAACAGTTGTGGGGAGGGGAGGCAAGAGGAGCTGTACACAAATAACCACACTCAGGCTGCCTCAGCCCCACACTGAGCTGACGACCTAACTGTTAGCCTCGCAGGAAGCGAAAGACACAGGCCCCGAGGGTTGTGGGGGAGGGGTGCCCAGTCGGGGGACCGGGTGTCACAAACTTGGTGCCAAGTGGGCTCTGCCTGGAAGCTGCTTCTCAGTTCGCTTTCTTGCTGTTTCTGGTCGTGGAAGCTGCTTATGGTGCTACCCGGCAGCCCAGACAGCCTAGAAGGTGCTAGAGTCCACCCACTGCAGGGAACCCAAAGAAACTGCAAGAGGGACTGCTGGTTCTTAAAGGTTTCCCAGGAGGGAGGGGCACTACGCGGACAAGGAGGTTTCAGCTACCGATGCCCTGCATCACACATCATTGAGGGCCATGCCCTGCTCCTTGCGCCTGTCAGGTTCAGCCCCATTCTGACCACGGAGGTCCCACAACTACCCAGGGTCTTGGTCTCCTGCTCAGTCGTTGGGCTTCCCTACTTCAGAAAGGCAAGGCTCCTCCTCTTTAGTTCCACAATGACAGATGCAAGCCAGGCTAGTGACCAGGCTGCCCTCCTTGTCTGCTTATTCCTTATTCTCTACTTCCCACCAACTACTGCCCGTTGGGTTGAAGAAATAAAAACAGACTCAGTAGCAGTTCATTGCTGAACGTGGCCTCTGTTCCTAGGCAACCGTTGGTGGCTAGGATCAGAACGAGGGTCAGAACATTCTGGTTTTAGAGGGGAGCTGTTTTGGAAGAGTAATGGGGATGAGCTGGGGGAGAGTAAGCTCAGGCTGGACTCTTTAGGTTTGGCCTATTTCCTCTGGGCATGGCCATGCCCTCTCACTCCAAGCCTGTCTATAACCTGCCATTCAATCCTCACGTCCCCTCCCTGACACCTGATCCTGTGAGTGTGTAAAACAGGTATGTAATGTTGAAGCACAGACTAGTATCTTACTTTGGAAGTCTCCTTCGTGTTTATCAGTAAAACTTTTCATTTAAATGATGTTTTACTGTTGACAAAAGGGCTTTCATGTCCATTATCTGATTTGATCTTCACGAAACCCCTATTATCATAGTTAACATCCTTATGTCATGATGAGGAGACTAAGGGTCAAAGTTAAAGTGACTTGGCCATGATCAAGAAGTAGAGCCTGAACTCAAGAAATGCGTTGCTCACACCCAATTTAGGGCTGCTAACTCCTTCCAACATAGTTCTCCCCACATGCGGTGGACTTGCTCCCTTCATGAGGATTCCACAGAACCAGCTTGAGGCATTAGTTCATTATAAGTGAGAGTTACATGTCCCTATACATTGAGTCCCCCGAACATCCCACATCTTACATCTCTAGTCCCCAAATTATCCAGAGTGGGAGGCAGTGTGGGGCAAGGGACCAGGGAGGTGACCCTTAGAATTTACTCAAGGACCCCTATGCAGGACATTGGGAAACAGGTCCAGCCCTCCCCCAGTTCCCACCTGGCTGCATCTTCTTTTCTACTCCAGCAGTTCTTAGGTATCTGCTGACCTCTGCCCCATATTCCTCAACCTCTTCTGTTTTTTCCCTACTCACCACCTCCATCTGCAGCCCAATTATGGACCCTTCACAGTCCACTGAAACAGACTTGTGATGAAAGGATACGTGCATATCCAATTAGGGGCATTGCCCCTGCCTCCCAGTCACTTGACTACTCAAACCATTTCCTTTCTACAAAACTGCTTCAGGCAGCAGGATAGTGGTCACCAGTGATGGCTGAGGGTGGAAAAGGAGACCCAAGGGGATCCTGAGGATAATTATAATTTTTCTTCATCTGGATGCCAGTTACATAGGTCAGTTCACCTTCTGAAGATTTATTGAGTTATGTACTCAGGATCTGCTCAGTTTTCTTTGTATGCTAACTTCAAACAAAAAGTTCACTTAAGGACATGGCGGTCCTATCTTAGGATCAGTGTAAGAAATACATTAATTTATATAAAAGCCATCTGAGAGCTGTATGCTATTACGTGTATCTAAGACAACAACTTTATCCAAAGTTGTCCACCTCTAGGTAAGTTCCAGGTAAGTGTGGCACGAATGACATCCCTGTAGTATTGTGGGACGATAGATGTTCCACTACACCTATCATACAGAAATATATCACAGCAGACACATTTTCCTTTAAGCACCGTGGCTTTTAATTTTAATCTCTCTGTTCTCTCGTTTTTTTTAGTGACATATGCTATTGTTTTCTTTAAATTCATACTTCCTTACTGATTGGATACAAGATTCTGGAAGTGATTTAACCTCTACTTGGCTCAAAGTCATTGTTAGAAACCTCCATTTTTGTATCATGTGGTGAAATGGTTCTGGGACTGATTATTTTTCTACCTCTTGATTCATGTCAGCCTGTCACTTCTGCTACCCATATGTCACTGTCCCCCTTCCAGTCTCGTTTGAGCTAGGAGAACAGATAGCCACGCTTGGTAAATATGGCTCTAGGGTGAGCCAGTAAGGTGTAGACTGAGGAAAGAAGTACATGGCTGCCAGCCTGGGCCTTGGCCAGAGTGTTGGAGCTGGAGAGCGACAGGTCATCCAGAGAATGTGAAGGCTGGGAGAGTTGTGACTTATACACCAGCCCGCCCTCCTTTCCGGTGAGAAGATAGCACCAGAGGCAGTGGTCAACCTGATCCCAAAGGGGTCTCTGCTACTTTATGTATCCTACACTACCTGGCCTGGAGCCTTCTGCCCAGAGATGCTTGTGTTTCTCTCTGCTCTAAGATCCCAGAAAGCAGGAACCGAGGGCAGAGAAAACTGAGGGCTGATAGCACCAAGATCCCCAATCTTCTGAGAAATGTAACCGAAAACCCCTCTCCCGCAGACCTGTGGCATCTCCCATTCTCAACACGCCCCCAAGAGTGGAGGGCAGGCATTATGGGGTCATGGACAGAGGACTTGGGGGTCCATCCTACAGATGAAGGCCTGGGACTGTAGGAAATCAGGGGCCTGGCGGGCCCATTTCAAGAGCTCCTATGTGCTGTTTCCTGCCTGTGCACTCTCCTTCCTCCACACTGAGCTCTTGGGCTAAAGAGAGAACTTGAGGGAAGGTAAGCAATAGCTTCAGATGACAGGGTGGAGGGACCCCAGTGTCTCTCCAAAATGGATTTCTCGCTCTTGCCCACCATCAGCCATTGCCACCCTTTCAACCCCTCCCCCCATCCTGGTAAAGACCTGGAAGGAAATGAGCGCTCTGGGGCCACCAGCCGGAGGAAGGGGTTTAACTGTCACCTCGTCCCTAGGGGCTTGAAGAATGGAGGGCAGAGGGGGAAATGCAAATTGGCACTTGGAACAGAGAAGGACTCCACTGAGAGGAAGAGGCTGGCAGCCATCGCTTCGCTTTCCCCCGGGCTGTGGTCCCAGCAGAGGCTGGGAAGGAGTGATCACAGGTCCCAGAGAAGCCAGCGGCTGCCCCCACCCTGCGCTGGCAGCTGGGACACTGGCACTTTCTCTGGGCAGCCGAACAGACTCACTTCTTCAGCCCTGC